CCTAGCAACAAAAAGGTAACTTTAAAAAAGCAGTTCCAAGGCAGCTGAGAGTGTATTCTGGCAGTATTCTGAGCTGTATTCTGAACAGAGCCAAAAACCAAGACAAATAGTTCACAGAGTTAATTCTACAAAGCTTATAGCAGCACAGGAAAAACTTGTACTCTTGCCTTGTTCCAGGATGGTGTATACTGATGGACTCGACAGAAATCCACAGTGAAGATTTGCATGGCAAGATATAATGTGTGGCACAGGCTTGTCATAAAGGTAGCCACATCAAATGATTCAGGGCATGGAGATGGAGCCTTGGGCACTACTGCCAGTAGAATGTCTTATTAATAATCCTTTTCAGTGATACAAGTCTAAATCAAAACTCCAATGAGACAGGAGCTAAAACCACTATATATTAATCTCTTGTATATCATTTAGCCATCTAGCTGTGTTGGGTACTGTGCACATCTCACTATGGTTAGTTTCAGTGGCATCTCACATGTTTGGGGAGGTATAGCTGCCATGCTACATGACTCAGTGGAAATGCTGTTTATAATATTTTACTGTACTTGCTAATCAAGGCCCCACCATTAAAGAAACATTAATCAAGGTCTGGAATTATGAGATGCAGCTGATTAAATTGTCAGTTGTGTGATCAAAAGGCACACAGAAAATGTTGTGCCTTGATGAGGATCCAAGCACTTTGGCCAAGAATATTCCTCCCTGTGACTTTGCAATTCGTTATCTACTAACATTTGTACAAGGAAAACTCAATCATTTGACTGTTAGCATAGAGCAATCAAAAACAGGGTACAGCTACGGTCAGAGGAAGCTCATTTAAAAATCTAAATGCATATCTGTAAAAAAACCTCTTGCATTATTCACTTATTGTAGCAGCGTTCCACATGCTAGTCACACATAGCTTCCAAAGGGCCCAGCATATCCATAATATTCTGGGAAGGTTTAAAGAAGACCATAAAGCATTTGAAGAGATGTTAATTGATGTTGTATAACTTCCAAACCGCTACCATGAAAATAAGTTTTTTGGATCAAAAATAGCATCATTTCTATTTGTAAATTGCCTTTCATCATTGACGTCTCCTGAACTGTAACACAAGAAAGATTACTTTTCCTGATTTGTTGCATAATAGTATTATAGTAGGTTTCTATGTCAAGAAGATGTATGTAAATGGGGCCAACACTTCAAAGGTATTAGAAATCTACAAATTTCAACAAATATTTTACTTCAAATATTCATTTCATCCTGAAATTATCACACAGTAGGGAAGTATAAATGTTATCTCTAAGCAATTTCTGGTAAGACAGAATCAATAAAATGAAGTTTTTAGTATCATGTTTATTTTTTAAAAAAATATTGCAGGCTGATTTTAAAAAGTCTGTAGAGATGAAAGTAAAAAAGATCTCAGTGAGAGAGAAACAAAGACAAATATTAAGCTCTAATGAATCACCTAGTGGGTGTTTATTATTTATTTATCATATTACAGTGGCACACAAAGGGGCTGCCCCCTCCATATGCTACATGTTTTACAAACGCATAATAGGTGACAGTACCTTCCACAAAAGAACTGAGAACAAAATGTGACTGTAACTATGGAAGGTGGGAAGGACATCCTTATAACAGTACATCAGGAACCAGACTCTGAGACCTGCGGTTCATGGCAGTGAACACAGCAAGGGAAACTATTTTGTATAAACAAGTTTAATTAGGATGAAATAAGAACAAGCCCAAACGTTAATATTCTGTTTGCTGATACAGGTACCACTGCCCACAATTGGGTGGGATATTTTAGACTTCCTTAAGCATTCAGTGGAAATATTCTTATTACCTTAAATGGGCTTTGGGTCAGACCT